TACCTAATTGCTTTTGTTGATGCATACTACTGGGCAAGTAATTCAGATGATCAGTCCTCAACATCCTCAAATATCCTGTTTCTTGAAGGGGTGGGCATGATTTATCATTTAAGTTGGTTTGATTTTAGGGTTTAGGTTGAGTCCAGTTCAGGTTGGGCTATTTTAAATTCCGTTGCTGCCCAATACATCATATTTGATAAAATTTCCGAAAATACTTTGTGATCTTTTTTATCCTAGTATTATTTTAAATATGATAGTAAAATAGAAAAAGAGCAAATTCCTTCACTCCTAATTGATAATCAATTTGGAGCTGATCTTAATCCACCAAACACGCCTCGTACACAAATAAACCAAGTCAAAATCCCCAATTCACAACAATCCATATTCATTCATATTTTCAACCATCTAGAATCCTCTCAACACCACCAATTTGTCCACGAATAAAGTCACTTAGTTAGGCTTAAAAACAAGAGAGTGAAGAAATAGACAGATATGTCAAAAAATGATTGAATGTTTTTGTTTTAATTTTTCAAACTGTCCAATCATGCGTCGACACTTGTCCCGTTTGGATTTGAGCCTGGATGTGTAGCATGGTTGATTTGTCCACACAAATCGATCATGTATTAGATTTAAATCTTGTTCTAATCCTTCAAAATTTCTTCTGTATTTGTATCTTGATTTTCAATGTAAGTGATTAGGGTTTATTCTCCATCGTATAACCCCAAATGGAAGGTGTAATATCACCATATTCTGTCCAATCGAAGCATTTATTTCTAAATAATTATTGTTTTTCAAAATTTTGTCCACAATACAGATTTCACTTTTTCGCAATCACGGATTTCTTTTGATGGATAGATACAGAATGAATCAAAGAGAGTATAAGTAAAATCACATACCCGCCTAAACTCCGATTGCTCATTACGAAACTTTGAATTGTGTATTGAATTTTGAATGTGCATTGAATGTGAAGCTTAATATTAGGTTAACTTAAAAATACATCAATTACAAAAGACTCTTTGACATCTATAGTGTTATAAAGTAATTACTAAAATAATTATTAATTCACACAGTATTCTATAAATTATGAACATCACATAATATTTATTAAAATTTTATTATATAATGATGTAGAAACGAATTTTTCCTCTAGCTATACGAATAATCACTTTAATTAATCACAAATAACTAAACCCCACACAAAAGTCACAGTAAATCCTAAATTAACCCAATTGTGCATTTACAAAATGAACTTGAATTGACTACATTAGATAAAATAAAATAAAATAAAAATCAAGCTTTTATGCAACCAGTATATGTTTTTAATCGAGTTAATTATTTGAATGGTCACCGAGCTATTCCAAGTATTACTATTTAATAACTCAACTTAAAAATGTATCTTAATTATTAATGAACTATGCACCATGTGTTACATCCATCACTCAAGTTGGAAAATCCGTTAAATTTAACAAACGGCATTGACTTGAACACGGCATTTATAACACGGTGCATAATCCAATGCCATTGAAATATAATTTTAAGTTTAATTATTAAGTAGTAACAATTTGCACAGTTTAGTCACCATTGAGATATAAATTTAAGTTTATTTATTAAGTAATAACAATTTCTTCTTTCCTCAAATTGACATCTATGAAAGAAGAAATCAATGTAAATGAAGGGGGAGGGGGGAAAAAAGGAGGAAACTGAAAATCAGATGCCTATAAATTGAAGATAAATAGAATTTTCAAAATTGAGCATCACAAATTTTTGCAAATTGAATATTTCCATTTGGAGCCCAATTTCAAACATTCAATCCTTTGCATAAATCTCACTTGTCCAATTCCACAATTTAATTTCGTTCCAAAGTGAATAAATAATCTTATTTTGTCAAAAACCTTGATCCTAAGATTTAAAAAATCTTATATTTTTAAGAAATCTCGACCATCACTTCCAAAAATCAATTTTTCTTCGAAAAATCCATTTTTTGTGAAAAAATAAAAATAAAAAATGAGATACCCACTGGGCAAAATTCAATCTTTTAAAGAATTCCAATTTTGAAAAAATTTAATTTTCTTTGATTTATATGCTCTGATTTTTCTTTCATTTTCTTTGATTTATTATTTCGCAGAGATTGATTTGAGGGAAGAAGAAATGTTACTACTTAATAATTATACTTAAAATTGTATTTCAATGGGATTGAACTATACCAATTGTTTTTATTTAATAACTGAGCTGAACTTAAAATTGCATTTCAACGGTCACTTAACAATGCATCCATCACTTGAGTGGAAAATTTTTACCATCCATCCATCACTCAAGTTGATACCTCATTTGACGTATGTAATGATTTTTCCACTTGGATGGTGGATGGGTAATATAGTGTGTAATTCAATGATCCTCAAAATACATTTTAAGTTCAATTGTTAAGTAACAGCACTTAGTATAGCTCAATGACCACCATATAATTATTAATCAATGGATTGATATAACACGTCGGTTAGTTCGCTTTGGATTGGTCGATTTGTTTGGTTAGGTTTCCAAATGTCCACAGTAATTTCTGCCCAACTATCTATTATCACAAACGGGATTGAACATTTTTGCTATCCCTAATCAATTGCAATCCTCTCAAGTAGTTTCACATTTATTGTTAACTTGTAATTCAAATTAGAAATTATAGATTAAAGTTCTCATTACATTACATTGTTGTATCTCCCTCAAATATAAATACGTACCTTTAAACAAATTCATTTCACATCAATGAAGAATTAATATTCACATTAGCCTGTACTTTACTCTCTGAAATTGTTCTAAAAGTCAAACAATTAAGTCACTAAAGACAAAAATGTTTGAATCTCTCTTAAATATCACGTTCTCGTCCGATCTCCATTATTTTCAAAATATGATTTTCTTTAATTTTTTTTTCAACCAAACATTTTTTAATAAAATAATATTATCCGAAAATTCAAAAAATTTTTTTATTTTTTTAACCCATATTGATATTCTCAATCGATCCACTATTCAAAAATGTATTTTTAGCCAAATAATGGGACTCAAACAACGGTTAATTTTTTCAATTTGAAATACTGTCCAATTATTCAAGTGAAATTTATTTTTGTAAAGGTCAGTTGGCAATTTTTCCCTATTTTTTTAGATGATTTTGTTGTTGGTCGTGCTACTCTAATAAAATGACCAGTACAAAAATTCAATTGTTGTTATGAATGTCACTTGATAGTCATTTAACAAAGAAGTTGGGAAGCAATTAATATTGCAATTTTTCCAAATTTAAATTACTATTCTAGGAGGTTGAATTATTGCAGTTAGATGTGAAATCTGGCGCCTACGGTCCTTGGACTTGAATGCAACTACTCCATAGATTTTCAAACTTTAGCACGTGGCAAACAGAGGTTTTGCCTTATGTGGGGGGCTTACATAAATTGCAATAATCACGTGCCCGGTGCGTGATAAAAAATTATATTCCCTTGAATTCAACTTCAAAAAAATAAAAAGTTAAACCCTAACCTTAAGGGTCCCCCACCACCCCTTTTTTGGAGTATCGTGAGGGAGGTAAATAGCAGGTTATGCCTCCAAAGGTACAGGGTGGAAGGCTGCTTGTACACTTGCACTTACCCATGAGCCAAATCCATATTTCAGGATTCGAACTCTTGACGCAGTAGCCTCAAGCAAAGCTGGATTTCTCCCTCCTCCCCTTTTACCACTTGGAGATGTGCCCTGGAGGCAATTCAACTTCAAAGAAATAGCTCCTATGAAATATGAACAATTCCCTGCTTACAATAATCACGTGCAGGAAAACTCATAAAGGTGCTGTGTTTTTTTTTTTTTTTTCTAACAGTCCAATCACACAACGACACATGTATTTTTTTGTTAAAAATAAAAAAAGTCTAATAGATTATTTTGTATGTGTAGCATGGTTCATGAAATATAGATATCAATACAACTCTCAATTAAAATAGAATCAAACTCATTTCTGTGGGGACCTTTTCAACATCTCCATCACTCTTAGTTCTCACGACAATGAAGTCATTAAAAATAAAATAAAAATAGTAGTCTCCTTGCAGGAGACAACTTAACTTTGACTTATAAATATTTTTGACAAAAAAATTACTTACGAGTATCGAAAAATTCTATCTTAAAAGCTCAAAATTCAACAATTAAGAACAATAGCTATAAACAGTTGATGTTAATGTTATCAAATTTAACAATCGAGAGTTTTAAGTGTCCTCTCAAAATGATTGGTCGCTGCTTCGAATTAAGCCCCTGTTTGGTTTAATCTAAATCGAAGTCAACAATTCATTTTATTCACATATTTTATGGATCTCATAATTTTTCAACTACACATTTCACCAACTTCCATCAAAATATACAAAAAAATCTGATTCTAATTTCCAATAAACGGGGGCTAAATGCAATTAATGTCCCCGTTTGGCCCATGTTAATTTTCATTCCATTATATTTCATTTTTCTCTCCTATTTTTAACCACACAATCTTCCATAAAATAATATTATCGTAAATCGAAAACTTTTCGTTCTCTTTTAACCACTCGTTTTTAAGAAAATACTATTTCATCCATTTTTATTTTCAAAAAATGAGGGCAAACGGGAGCATAGTATAACTGATTAAGTAAATTATTACTGCCAAGCTGTTTTACGGCCATCTTTTTCAAGGATTGTTCTACATGTAAACATTACAATCTAGTGAACATAATGTTCAAGTGGCATTTTATTATGGGCTAATGGAAAAAGCTGTTTTTTACCCTATCAATCATGAAACGCCACTTGACCATCATGTAAACCGGAGTAGCATTATCCCTTTTTCAGAGCCACACTCGCCAATGGAAATTTGACTGCAGATTCTTGGTCAAAATGCTATTTCTTTTACCTCATTTAAGTTATCACATTCACCCTCCAGAAAATATCAGGGTAACAGACAAAAGTAAATAATGCAAAGACAAAGCCTAACTAAAAATATTAATACACTGCATAAGTGTGCCTGTGAAAACTAATCCTTGTAACAAAATGGAAACTAGGAAATGATTCCCATGAAAACATATATAGAGATACTTATTTATATATGTGTTACATACGATAATGATTCAAGTGTAAATCGATCTGATCTGTCTTTAGAGCAAATTAAGATTGAAATGCAAATAATAAGAAACCTGAAGAATAATATATGTCAAATTGATCATTCTTCTTCCACTGTGTTATTACTAGGTCTAGGTAGTCCGCAACGCGTAAGATCTTGAATTTCGCATCCTTTCAGTAAAAAATTGTGCTTGCTGAAGAACTAGTTGTACCCAGATATGATCTTTGGCTGAAATCCAATGAAATTCTTGGCGGTGAAATTGCAACGGTGACCAATGAAGAATGAATCCCAGAATCAGGTGGAGACCCTGAAATCAAATCAAACCAGTGCAGTTTCAATTTTTTTCTTGTCCCTGAGCTGAATTTATGCATAGAGAAAACTTACTCGCAAGGTTTTCAGAGGAACAATTTGGTGCACTGTCCAGTAGAGAGTTGTTGCTGGGTTCTTGATTTGGTTGCTGGGATTTTCGCCTACGCCGGTTATGGTCAGCCAATCTTTTCCGGCAACTCCTCTTCCCGTTGTCAAATTCCGAAAGGAGATGGAATCTGATAGAAGGAAAATTAGCGAGAACAATTAACGATGCAAATGGAAGTCTCACAGAATTTGGTGCAGAATGCTAATAAAACCAAGAAAACAGTAGAATTTTATATGTGTTGATCCTTAAAAGCTGATGACAAGTTGTTGAATAGAAAAGAATAGCTGCACATTACTATAAGAAGCAAAATCCAACAGTACGTTGAAACGTAATTGGGATCAAAATCATGAGGAAACATAACTCTACGGACGCAAATCCCATCGGGATCAACACATGTACCACCCAACCCAATCATGAGCTTGTTAACACTTGAAAAAGGGGAGTTCATTCAGTCAATACTCACTATAAACACGAGGTTGCAACTAAAAAGAAATATGGGGATTAATGTACAACCTGCTGCATTGTTGGCAGAATCGCTGAGTCAACCCAGCGGCGATGACAGTAGCGGCCTTGGAGTGGAACTCACATACCTTGTGGCGGCGATGGTAGTGTTTCGCGTGCGTAAGGTCCGCGTGGCAACCTTCAGCTTGGCATCTTGGGGAGTTGACTGAGCCGTTCTCCATTACCCTGGACCGGCGGTAGAGCCGGTTCACAAAATCGTCCTCGGAGGAAGCAAAATAAGTCCTTCCTCCCAAATTAAGTCCAATCCTACTAGTGCTAGTGTTAAACTCGAACCCGCCAGCAACCGGCTCACTCTTGGGCATCATCATGAACCCAGTTGGACCGGTTGGTTCAAGAGGGAGCACTGAAGCCTGTGGTGCATGAGGATTCGCGTATGATGATGCAGAAGCTCGATAACAGCGTGGGTCATAGAAATTAGTCAAATGGATGTCAGTATTTGGGTGGTGAAACGGGTGGTGGTAGTGGTGGTTGTGAGGAGTGACAGTGGCGAAATCATTAGGGTTAACAAAAGTGTTGGCTTCCGTGAAGCTATGAGTAGCGTATGGGTAAAAAATCTGTTGATTTTGGTTAGAATCTTGGGCCGTTTCTTCGCCAGAAAGCATGATAGATGATGGGTTACCCCATTCATAGTCCACCATGCCTCTACTTTTATTTTGCCTCCACCAGCAGAATCAAAGAAATATAACAGCGCCTTGCCAGATATCTGAAATCAACTAAACTATAGAAAGAGAGTGAGAGAGAAAAATCAAAGCTTTAAAGGGAAAGATCATGGTGAGTGAAAAAGCTGCAAAAGACTTTAACAAAGCTGTGTGTCCGTGTGAATTGCCTTATTGCGAAGCAGGTAAAGAGTTCCTTTTTGAGTTTGAGGATCATGTCGGGTTTGTGTTCATCATTGTAGCATTTGCAGGAATTTGATCGAGAGAGAATAAAATGTAGAGAGAGAGAGAAAGAGATCACCTCGTGGCAGTTTGGAACAGTGAGATACAGTATAGTAATCAAAACCCTACAAGTGAAGTATTAATATTCGTTACATCTCTCCATTTCTACAAGGATCACCACTTAACTCTCTCTCTCTCTAAAATAGAATCTCTCTCTCTTTCTTATCTCTAATCTAAAAGAGAGACAGAGAGGGGACGGGATAATAGGAAATCCTTAAGTTCGGGGTTCAATTTTTTTTAAAGAGAGATAGAGAGAGATTGTATTTCTCTCTCTAAAAAAAAAATGTTAAACCCTAACCTTAAGGGTTCCCCATCACCCCTGCCCTGAAATATCGTAAGGGAGGTAAATAACAGGTTATGCCTCCAAGGGTACAGGGTGGAAGG